ATCTGTATTTCCCTGGTGACTAGTGGCGCTGAGCTTTCTCAAATGCTCCTTGGCTGTTTTTCTATCTTCTTGGGGAGTGACTATCAGATCCTCTGTGCTCACCTTAAAACTCAGGTTGTCTTTTTGCTATTGGGTTGTTCGTTCTTTGAATACTTGGATAATGGTAGCGTTACCTGTGTACGTGACAAAATCTGCATTCGCCTGGGCAGGGGGTCTCGGTGAGAGAGTCTCTGGATTAGGGTGGCCTGTGGCCATGCCTCCAAGGGATGTTATTAGTTGGGCAGAATGGAATGGGAAGTTCTCAGTGAATGTGAGTGGCATCGTAAAGGAGATACTCTAAGGGAAGGACCAAGAGTTTCTCATGACCAATGGCTCCTACACTGCCCTTTCCTACAAGATGTAAGGAGTTGTTGAATCTTGGTTGTTAAGCCTTACTGAGGTAGGCAGAGCATCCTAAGGACCTAAAAAAAATTCTCTTGAAGCATTTCTCAATACCTTGTCTATCTGTTATTTGAAAGGGTGATGGTTACTCAACTGCCCTTTTGGTTAGTACAGAGCATGCCAGGGGTGTCATGGTGAGGGCCACAGGTCTCAGCTCAGGACCAAACAGGGAGGGGTTCCCATCCTCAAGAACACTAGGCCAGTGGAGGTCAGAGCAGACTAGAAGGCACCGCTCCATCTCCTCAGCCCTGCTCTTCCCCGTCGTTCATACCCTGGGCTCGGCTTCAGCATTGCCTGTGAGAAGTCATCCCTTTGTGGGACAAGGTGCTCCAGCACAAGAAAAAGAGGGTGGGAGTGCATGAGTGCATCTTAAAACCAAGGTTTCCATCCCAGGGCGAGCAAGCTGGAAGGGCTCAGGGAGAGGGCCCGGGTGTCCAACTGCTTCCTGTGCCTCTTGACCTTCAGCTATGAGGCATGACCTTTACAGCTTGTTGAGCACAGATGGCTTCTAAAGGATATCCTCCAGGACAGTGCTCCAAGCCCTCGCTTTTCAGGACCTCCTAAGCATGCTCTCAAGCAAGAAGACACTGCCAAACAGGGACAAGAGCAAGGCCTTTAAGGCGGACCCGGGGGAAAAGGCAGAGGCAATTCTGGCTTTTCCTAATAAGGAAAAGATCTTAGTAGGAATAGCTGTGGTCTGAGAACCCATTACTTGAAGGTGACAGACACTGGCTAACTGAATCGACACCCTTCCCTCCTGCCTTCCCTCACCTCATACCTATGTTCGTGCACATGCGCCCACAGGCAAAGCTACCCTCTTCTCTGAAGTACTCTGTGTAGTCTATACAGACATGGAATGGAAACTGTTTCTGGGGATGTGTATGTGGCAGAAACCCCAATACCATATGCTCAAGGGAAGGCTCCTATGTTCTCATGCCGAATAGGAGGTAGGGAAAGGCAGGCAGCTGGGGAAACTGGAGGAAATCCTGATTCCAAAATGGAGAGCAGGGTTGATTACCTGTGCCTGAAGAGCAAAGGGGTTCTGTCTGGGTAAGTCCTGGAAGCTACATCAGAATTCCCATCCCAAGTCCCAGGACCCAGAACACTTGACATAGTGGTTCCCTCGCAGCATTCCAAAGGCCGAAGGAGCCAAAGTCAAGGCCCAAGCAAGCTACTTAGCAATACCCACCTAAAATCAAAACAACAAACAAAAAACATCTCCAACAAGACAAAACAAAACCCCCTAAAATCCGCAGTTAGTGACTGCCACCTAGTGGTAGTGAGCAGAGCAGCAGGACCACACACCTAAAGATCCTGCGTCCTTCCTTGCTGCCTCTGCAGCAGCAGCCTTGCTTGTGTGCGGAGGCCTTGTGTTCTCCATGCTGGAGTTACAGTGAGCCTGACCCTAGAGTTCCTCTCAGAGACATGCGCCTTTGAGGATCTTGGGTGCCTAGAGGTTAGTGAGATACTCCATCTCACTGCCAAAAGTCTGGGGCCAGGCTGCCCTTGACCTCTCTGTCTTGCAGAAAAGGAAATTGTGGCCCAGAGACTTACTGAGAGGGAGCTTCTGGCTGTGAACCTGCTGTTTCCTCACTCCGGCATGCTAGCTGTTAGATCTTTAGTGATCTGAGACACTCCAAATGAATACAGGCTTGAGGTCAAGTTGATTTGAAAAGGCGAGATGCTGGTGTTGGTCCATTCAGCCCATGGCTTCTACATCCAGAGGCAGCCTCGCTCTGATAGCAGAGAGAAACCTCTGCTTTAATGATGACAGCCGGGACACAGTTCAGCTGGGTAAGCCGGACATTTGTTGAGCGGGGCCAGCACTGGCTGGCTTGTGGGCTTCAGCTGTGGCTAACCCAAAGCTGCAAGCAATCACCAAGAACAGAATAGGACCTCCTATCTCCTCATTCACTTTAAGGCTGTGTCTGTTGCTGCTTGGGTACTCAGAGACCTGTTCAAGGTCTCAGAATTGGGAGGAATAGACTGCCTGTTTTGAACCACTCTGCCATCTAGTGGCAACTTTAGACATGACAGCCCCACCAGGCCAGTCTTGGCACAGCAGCTTGATGCTTGCTTGCATCCTCACCTAGTCTGTCCTTGAGTTTCTCTGTCACTAAACGAGGAGCTGCCCTGCCCAGGCCCAGCCTTTCTCCTGCGCCGTTTCTATCTGTCATAGGCAGTGACACTTCTGTGCTGCATCTGTCCTCCCCAGGAGCACGGAGGGCATGCATTCTGCTCCCCGCTTCATCCGGGTGGCTGAAACAGGCTGACGGGACTCAGCAAGTGTTTGATAGCTAACTCAGGACAATCAAACTGCCTTTTCTAGACACTTACTGTTTGGTGTAACTACAGGTAGCCTTCTGCCATCTTGTAGGCAGCTTTTCTGCTTTTATTCCCACCCAATTAAAAGAGCTCAACAAACATTTCACAGCAAATACTGCAAGGCTACCATCATTAACATCATTAACATTCCATATCCTATATGTATATATACACATACATGTGGACATATGTATATTTATGCATATACTTATACACACAGGGTCACACTTGATCTTCTCTGCCGTTATATAACAGGTTAGAAGCTGCATTTGTGCATTCCATTTTTGAGGACTCAGGGACTCAGTTCAAGATTAGCTCCTGATGACACTCTGGGGCTTCAGGCTTCCCACTGGGCAGCGGACTCATGCTTTCCTTCCTTGACACCTGAGAGTCAGCAGACCGTCACATGGACATGTTTTGGGGACAGTGACCAGGCAGTGTGGGCAGAGGGAACTGTGCAAAATGCAAAGCAGCCTATGGACTAGAGAAACACCCGTTTTCAGCCTTGTCTCTTGCTGCCTCAGTCAGCTGGTCAGCAAGGACTGGGGGGGGGGGGGGTGTGCCTTTGTGGGGGAGGGTCAGAGTGCATCTTAAACTCTCAAATTGGGACTTCTACTGCAAATTCGCTTCCAGAAGTCTCTGCTTTCACAGTCTTCCCTCTGTCCCTGGGTCTCGAGTTCCTCCTTAAGGACTCGGTCTCCTTCATGATGTTGTCTGACCTTCACGGCACTTTTTAAAAGACCCCTGTGTTGGTACGGAATATCTGACAGAGAGCAACTAAGGGAGGGTTTATTCTGGCTCACAGTTTAAGGGTATAAGTGTCACGGCAGGAAAGGCCTGGAGGAAGGAAGAGGCTAGAAGCAGCTGGTCTCTTGGCATCCACAGTGAGGAAACGGACAATGATGGATGCTGAGGCTCAGCTCACTATCCTGCCCATGTTCAGTGTAGGTCTCCCCACTTCAATTAACCTAATGTAAAAACCTCCTCACTGACCTCTCAGAGGTCTGTCTCCTAGATTATGTTAGCCCTGTCAGGCTGACAGGCCCCATCTCCAAGCACGGTCATGTAGTGAGGTCCTGGGGGGAGGGTAGGACTTTACCATAAGACCATCGAGGCATGACTGGTTTTGCCCTACCCCCAAATCAGGTGCATGGCACCTTTCTCCACTTGCCTGTCCACTCTTTGGAGAAACTGAGATCTGCCAGCCCAGAATAGAGCAAGGCCAGGTTCTGGGGGTCAGTGGCCAGGAGGGTAGAAAACTCAAGGTGCTCCATGCAAGCAGAGAAACACAGAGGTACAAAGGTCCCCACGGGACAGTGTTATTTCTGTGGATTCGCCAGCAAAATGTCAACCTGAGGACTGTCTTTGCAGGGCTGGGTTGGCCACCAGCATATCTCCACCAAATGGCAGGAAGGTCCTTTCTTCCCAGAGGACTGACTGAATGAAGCCTGGGGGTTGGGGCAGCTCAGCAGTTTTCCTCCACCCTTCCCGACCCTGGACCTTAGTGTCTTAACCAGTTGGATTAGAATTAAAGCCAACAGTATGATGTTAAAAGGATGGTGTGGTTCCCAGCTCCAGTGTCATCCAAGCTGTGGGAACTTGGCCAAGTCACTTTGTGACTTATTTTCTCATCTCATAAACAAAAGATCAGATGGTTTCTATTCTGGAAAATTTTCTAAATTCCCTTTAGTTTATGACTTAAAAAAAGTCTATGTGTGTGCCCAAGTGTATATATGTGTACCATGAGTGTGCACAAAGGGGTGAGAAGAAGGTATGGGATCCCCTGGAACTGGAGTCACAGGTGGTTATGATCAGACATGTGGGTACCGGAAACTGGACCTGAGTCTTCTGCAAAAGTGCAAGCACTCAACTGCTGAGCACTTTCTCCCAACTCCAAGGATCATGGGTAGGAAGGGTCAAATAGGAGGAGTGAAAGGGCTCAGAGTCACCATCCAAACAAATCGCTAGCTAGAAAAGGCCTCTCCCATGAGAAATTTCCTTGAACCTGGCAGGAGACTAAGAACGGCAACCAGGTTCGTTCCAGAGTGAATTGTCAACAGTACATTCCACCTTCCTATATCTGCAATTCAGCCACTGAGCCAGGGCTCCAGCCTGTCTTTGGGGTTCTCCTCTTTCTGTCTTCACCCCCTAAGCTCCTCAGTGTTGGTTCATATTTGTAGCAAGCCCCAAAGCACATTCTCCCACACCTGCCGGGATTCTGAGAATGGATCTCTTTATTCCCAGTTGGACAAGGCTCTGAGCAGCGCACAGGACAAAAGACAGGACAGGAGCCTGCTTTGAGGGAAGCCCAGTGCTGGGCATTTGGAAGACTGGCTGCGCCCTTTGTTTTTTTTCTTCTTCTTGACAGGGACCCGAAGACCCTTAATATCCAGGGGCTTCCCCTCTACCTGGGCTATTTTCTCAATCCACAGGGTGTAGTTTGCCAACTCGGTGTATATCCCTGGAGAGCCTTTTCGTCCGCAGCTCTTGCCCCAGCTGATGATGCCCACCTGGTACCACCTGGTCCCAGGCTCTGTGCTGCAGACAAGTGGTCCCCCACTGTCGCCCTGTGGGCAGAGAACACAGCTCATTAGTAAGTCCATTTTCAATTGCCGGTCGAGACAGACTATCAAAGAAATCTTGTTACCACTGACCAAGGCTATCACCCCATCCTGGCCCCTGTGGAAGAAGTGTGCTACCGATAGGAAACTTGCAGAGGCATAGGGTACAACACAAAAGGCCAGTGGCGTGCGAGATCAAAGAGAGAGGGCCTGATGAGAAAGAAACTCCAGAGAGGGCACAGAAGACAGGCAGGCAGAAGGAAAAATGACCCAGGGATGTGAGGCATGAGGGTTTTTTTTTTAAACCAGACTCTGAAAAAGGCAGAGAAGAAAAGTACACAAGGGCTGGAGAGAGGACTCAGTCAGGACCTGACTCTGCCTCCCAGAAGCTACATTAATAGGCCAGGCTGGGCATGGTGGCATTTGTTTGCAATCCCAGTGCCAGAGAGTCAGAGGCAGGTAAAAAGAGTGATAGAATCCTGTCGACTTAGTGTCCCCAGAGACCAGAAATCTTCTGTAGACTTGTCGCATGCTGACTCTCAGGTGGGCTGACAGTGCAAGGGCTACAGTGTGGACACACAGTAGAAGCCACACGAAGACTTTGAAATCTCTGCCTTGGTCCTGTGTCCATGTGCTTTTCGGAGTCTGTCCTCTCTCTCTCTCTCTCTCTCTCTCTCTCTCTCTCTCTCTCTCTCTCTCTGTGTGTGTGTGTGTGTGTGTGTGTGTGTGTGTGTGTATGTATGTATGCATATGAATGCTTCCAAGTGTACACATGGGTTCAAGTGTCTACAGAGGCCAAAGAACAACTTCAGCTCCAATTTCTTGGACATTGTGTCTACTGTTATCTACTGTTGACCTCTGCTTTGGTTTCAGCTTGCTCGCTTGTTTTCTTGTTGTTTCCGAGACAGTCTCTCTCACCAGCCTGGACTTGCCTGTCAGCCTAGTTGGCCTGCCAGCCCCAGAAGGTCTCTGCCTTCTCCATGCTGAACACAAGTGTGTGCCACCATGCCTGGCTTTTTCACATGGGTTTAGGGGGAACCGAACTCAGGTCCTCACATTTGTGTGGCAAGCGCTTTACTGACTGAGCCCTTTCCCGAGCCTGCCCTCTAGAGTGTTAATCTATTCCCAGGGGAGAAGAGACACTCTTGCAAGGGAACCGCCTAGGAGCTGCAGGTGTGTGTGTGTGGGGGGGGGCTGCTACGCCCTCATTACCTGGCAGGCATCGTAGCTCCCGTTATCGTATGACGCACACAGCATGTTTTTGGTAAGCTTTGGAAACACCTTAGAGCATTCCTTCCAATCTATAACATTCATGGGTACCTTCATCAGGTCGGTTTTCATAGATGTTTTGTCATCTGGCACAGAGAGAAAGCACATTGGGCAGGCAGATAATGAAGCATGGTTGCGGGCTGGAGACAGCTTCATACCCTCCCACACAGGCCTAGAAGACTCTCCCCTTCATGATGCCCACAGACCCAGACTGCACAGCCTTCAGATAGCCCGTCGCCCGAGCTATCGTCCCCCGAGCTTCTCTGACCAACCCCACCTCACGCACGGGCTCCTCTCATTCTGAACCTTGGTCCTCTTCCTTGCTGACTCCGCCAGGCTCCAGGATTTGACTTCCCCAGAAAACACAGGAGTGAGACTTCCACAGCAACTCCCATAACTATTGCTTATTATGTGATTATGATTATACCACAGCCCTCCACTCCTAGCACCACTGGAAACCCATCTGTACCATGGTAAATATATAATATACATATGTAATATATATTATATACACTCCTTTTAGATTTAAACTTGAAAAAAATATGTGTATGCATCTGTGTGTGCACAGGCACATGAGAGTGGGCATAAGATCCCCTGGAGCTGGACTAACAGGCAGTTGAGAACCTCTCAACACAGGTGCTGGGAACGGAACTCGGATGCTCTGCAAGAGCAGTGTGTAGTTTTGGAGGCTGTGGGATCTTTAGTGGGCGGGGGCTAGCTGGTGGAAGTAGGTTTCTAGGAGCAGGCCGTTGAAGGGGAGTCTTGGTTTCTGGTCCCCTCCTGTTCTCTGCTCCCTGGCCTACTGGAGTGTGGGGAGTCTCTGGCCCACGTTACCACCCCTGGGATCAGAGCTGCTATACCATGCCTTTCCCAATACGGTGGACCAAGATCCCTGAAACTGTGAGCCAAAACAGAACAAAACAACAACAAAAACCCAAACAACAACAATAAAATCTTTCTTCCCATATGTTTCTGGGAGATATTTTACTCCTTCGAGAGAACAATTAGTACAAAGGATGAAAGGGAGAAGTAGCTTGGCCTACAGTAGCAAGAGTTTGCCTGGATTCCTCAACTCTAATCACAGAAGTTCATCATCACGTTCCTTACAGAGTGCTTGGACCTTGCAGGTCACCATCTGCCTCCTTCACCACCTCTACGTCTTGTCTGGAAGCCAACAGCCATGCTCTACCTGTGTCCCTCTGCTAGCTACTGAGAGAAGCCAAATTCTGTGTGAGCTCAGCTCATACAAGGCATCTTCACGGGCCCGAGGCTTGGCTGTGTGGTTCCTATCCGTCTCCTATCAATCGCTCTGCTTCGGCAGGGGTGCAGGGGCGTTCTTTGGGGACAGTGCAGCAGGAATTTACTCATACCTTCTGCTCCACGTCTGCTTCCTATTCCGACCAAGTAACAGCCTAACCTTGTAAGTGAGAACAAATTCACTTCTGAGTGTGCTTCAGTATCATCAGAAGCACAGCCTGGGTTTGGGCAGCATGAAAGCCTATAGGAACCAGGTAGGAGACAGTACTGGGTGAAAACTAAGACTAGAACAGAGAGGCCTTTAAACAACTATGGTGGTTGAAACTCCATTTAACACACAGACACAGCTGCTCCGTGTCTGGCTTACCGCACCCGGGCATCGGCTCAGAGCTCTCGTCTCACCCGAAGCATCCCTCTGGAACCCAGAAGAGGCTGAACGGAGGTTCCCAAGAACCCAGCGTGTGGAGATTTCCTCCCACCGAAAGCCGTTCCGCCACTCTTTCTCTGTTTCATGTCTTTCCTCACCATTTCCCTAGATCCTGTATCTCTTGCCCCAGGAGTTTCCATGAGGCCGTGGGCAATCACATACCTGAGTTGGTCATGCCCCATCCTGCCACCCAGCATTCATGCCATCTGGAAGGGGCGGGCTGGAGAGGCATGCAGATGGGCACTATCAGGTCACTGAACTGGATGGGCTTGGCCAGCAGCAACAAGGCAATGTCATTGTCCATGCTGTGTCTTTGAAAGTCTTTGTGCCGAATTATGTGGGAGACCCGCATTCTCATGGGTGAAGTAGTTAAGTCATTGGTTCCCACTATCACTGTCAGTTCTGTTGGGCTGGTGGCACAGAACCAGAGGGAGGGAAGAAGGAGAAAGGAAGCCTGAGTGAACAGAAGCCAATGGGTCTAAAAATTAAACCCAACATAGTTCTAAAGGCTTTCGAACTTGTCCTACTGGGGCAGTTGCTCAGAAGGTTTAAAGACCACATCATCTATGTTTCTTGTTGTTGGGGGTCAAACATTTGACAAGAAAATAAGTGAGGGAAAGCTTCCTTGGGCTCAGTTGAAGATCTAGTTCATCACAGCAGAGAAGGCACAGTATTGGGGGGGTTAAGGCTGCATGCCCACATCTGTGTAGACCAGGTGCAAATCGAGACTATGGCTGGAAGCTGGCTGAGTTATCAATGTCTACCATCTCATGATATACTTCTTCCATTTAGAGCCAACCACTGAAAGGTCCACAGCCTCCCAAAGCAGCACCCACAAGCTGGAGCCCAGCATGCGAGACAACCTGTGTTGTCACATTCGGACTCTAACAGAGGGCAGGGAGTAGACCTGTGTCTGGAGGGTGCCCAGGCCTGAATGGGACGCTAGTGCTGAACAGACAGAAGTAGGCTTCAGTTCTGCGCTCTCTGAAGAGCACTCTTGTGCTGGCTAGCTTTATGTCACCTTGACACAAGCTAAAATCATCTGGGAGGAGGGAACCTCAACTGAGAAAGTGCCTTCATAAGACTGAGCTGTGGGCAAGCCTGTGGGGCATTTTCTTAATTAGGGATTGTGGGGGAGGGTCAAACCCATTGTGGGTGATGCCATCCCTGATGGTCCTGGGCTCTATAAGAAAACAGACTGAGCAAGCCATGAGGAGCTAACCCATAAGCAGCTCCCTTCCATGGCCTCTGTACCAGCTCCTGCCTCCAGGATCCTGCTCTGTCTTCCTTCAGTGATGGATTATGATTTGGAAGTGTAAGCCAAATAAAGCCTTTTCCTCCCCAAGTTGCTTTTGGTTGTGGTGTTTAACCACAGCAACAGTAACCCTAACCAAACACCCGCAGAGGAGCTCTTGGCAGACCAAAACAACTGTCAGAGAGGCAAGGTAGCGTTACACACAGCAGCAGTCACTGTTCGTGTCATTAGATCTACCAACCATCTTGAAACGAGGACCAGAGTTTCATCTGGAGCCTCTACTGGCCACACAAAGATTTCCAGAAAAGAAAAAGAATCTGTCAGGAAAGATGGTCATAGGATTCTTAATTATCTTAACCAGGTCTCAAGAGCAGGAGCTACAGCGGTCTTGGCTTTGTCAGGATGAGTCCCTCACACTTGTGGGTCTGCAGATAGTACCATGACATCAAACATGCTTGGCAAACACTCTACCGCTGTGCCACATTCCATCCCACTTTATATTGTATCTTTTTATTTATTTTGAGACAGGATCTCAATTGCCCAAGCTGGCCTCAAATGTGTGCTCCTCTGGCTTCAGGTTCCTAGTAGCTGGCTATGCCTCCCCTTCCTGCAGGTCTCTGAACTTTCTGAAGGAGGTGAAGCTAAAAGCCAGAATTTCCTTCCTGCCTTTGTCTACTGGACATGAACTTGGGCAAGCCATATACATTCATCAGACCTCGGTTTCCCTATTTACAAAATGATTTCTTTTACCTCTTTCCAAAGGTCATTGTAGAGTCAAATGAATTAGTATATAAGCAAATTCCTAGCAAAGCATGAGTAATTGTCAGCCAATGCTAGGTGCCCACTGGTAGCCTAGGACAAAGAAATCTCTATAAGAAGCCAAGAAGGAGGGTGACAGATAGCCAAGGAGGCCTGGTGTGAAGTAGAACTTCCTCCAAGGAGCCGTTGAGAGGCAAAGGGGCAAGCGTTGGGCTGCATCAGCTGCAGGTCCTGAAGGGGACAGCGGTGACCTCAGGCACCGTCTCAGGCCAGTTGCATTAGAGTCTGCAGACTGGAGGGAAGGAGGGACTCACTCCTGTCTATCTAAGGGGGAACCACATGAGGATCCCTCTCACAGCCTGGTGTGACCGAGTACACACCACCCCCCAGACAACCCGGGCCCTCAATACTTACGACACCTCCTCAGAGTAAAAGCAGTGGGCCACCGTGAGGATCCACCACTTGCTGAGAACGGAGCCGCCGCAGAAATGATGGCTGTTCTCCTGAATGCTCACCTGCCATGGAAACTCACCCACCTCAGCCTCCTGCCCGCCTATGATCCTGGAGTGGCGAGTTCGGCTATCATACAGGGGTCTCACGCCGCACTCTGCAGAAATGGAGAACAGAGCTTCAGTCAACGTCTGGCAGGTCAGGCCGGGTCTAGGATGGGAGGAGATGTCCCTGGGTGTACTGTGAGGCCAGGACACCAGGGCTTCGGCTGCTGTGATAGGGAAGAGCCCCTGGCTCTGGGTGTGGGCTGAAGGTGTTGGCTCTGCCCTCATCACCCTGCACGGCTCCTCAGGCTGGCAGCTCTGCCAAGCCTATCTCTACCCACTGAACCCGGAAGGAAATGTGTTCAAAAGCCAACTCCGGTGTGGTGGGCAGAGCATTGACCACCAGAGGTATACACCAGGTCTAGTAACTGTGTCGTAGCCAGGCCAGTGATGACACCGTCACAAAAGACAAGGTGGACAATATCTAAGGGACAGCACACAGGTTTGTCTTTTGACCTTGACACACATGTTCATACACATGTGCATTGCCCCAAACATGTGCACACGCAAACACACACACACACACACACACACACACACACACACACACACACACACCCTGGGATCCCTATGTTGTACTGCTACAGATCAGTGAGAAGAAACTAGTGTGGCTTAAGCCCCTTAGGCTGTGCTGATGCGAAGAAATGCACAAGACCTGCCCGGAGTCATGGAAAGGGTCAGAACCCACTAGAAGCCTTTACTACTGTCACCTGGTCCGAGTAGAGCAGCTGTGTCACCGGGCAGCTGGGGGCAAAGACTGCAGCTGCTGGGCTGTGAAAGCTGAGACTTAGCAGCACATGTCATGAGCCTTAGGCTGTCCATAATAGCATATCTTCTTCGGGCCTTTTGGTCTTCAAATTCTTTTTGTTCACCAAACATACTCCCAGGGCTTACCATACATCTACACTGTAGTGACATCCAGACACGGGCTATACAGCCTGATCAGTGGCCTGACCGAACCCAAGCCCGGGCACCTGTACCTGGAATGTTCTCGCCTGGACTGCCTGCTTTCTCTCTTTGTTTAGGCTTCCCCCCTATGAGTCACTTCTTCAGTGAAGCCTCCTCCAACCTGGCCCCCGCCCTGGCCATTCCTCATTGTCTAGGCAGCCTTAGGTGTCTCCATCGCATTACAGTGACATCAGCTCATTTCGGAGTGCTCCCGTCTGCTGCTGACCCCGGAATGCCAGCTCCAGGTGGAGAGAGAGGCATGCTTGTCTTGCTGATGTGTCCTAAGGATGGGACCATGTCTGTCATTGAGAGGCACTCAACAACCAGAAGATTCTACGCTAGGGCCATCTTATGGGGAAAATCTGCATACTGGAAGATGTCCCCTGCAGTGGGGGGTCTTGACAGCAGCAAATGGAAGACAAGCTGGTGTCATGGCATCTAAGCCCTGAACTATTTCTCAGCCATGAAAATGAGGCTCGGGGGCATTTCTAATGGTACAGGGATGGGGGGGGATTCTCATGATATAAACTTGAATGAAAAGATCAGGATAAAAATCAGATTTAAACTTGAGGGGCAGAGGCAGGAGAATCTCTGAGTTCGAGGCCGGGCTGGTCTAAAGAGTGAGTTCTAGGACAGCCAGGGATACAGAAAGAAACCAAACAAAAATCAGACTGGAGGATTAAATAAGATGGCTCAGTGGGTAAAGCCATTGCTGCTAAGCCTGGCCATCTGAGTTTCACCTCAGGGGAACTAAATGGCATAAGGGGGCAATTGACTCCCACAAGCTGTTCTCTCACCTCTACCTGTGTGCTGTGAGGTGCACACACCCACTCTCACACTCACAGACACTCTCTCACACACACATACACACACTCACACACATTTACACACTCACAAACATACACACTCACACACACTTAAACACACAGTACATTAAAATATAACTTAAAAAAACATATTTGAGACTTGTGTGATTTGTCTTGCTAAAAAGTGGATATACAAGTGTGGGAGAAAATATATGGAGATGACCACAGAGAGAGGCTTGGCTGAGTGGTGAGTGTCTGCTCCAGGGCCCTCTCTGATTCAAGTGACAGAGCTTGCAAAGGGCATAGGTTCTAGGCAGACAGCAGAGGCTGAATCCTAGCTTGTGCTTGCCTTATCCAATGACTGGAGGGAACATGACTTGCCCTCACTTATCTCCTCTCTTTTTATTCCTCAAATGGGCATCAAGCACTCCACCCCAGTAGGCTGGCTTGTGGATCAAATATGATGATGAAGCATCCCTCAAAGTGCTTGGCACAGAGCAAAATCCTCAAGCCCCCGTTGTTTCAGGACTTCTCAGATCCCCATGGGACTTGGCAGACAAATCCCGCTGTCTACATCCTTGGTCCTGAGAACACCCCACAATGACAGTGTGGAAGCAGCCAGGACACAAAGCGGGGAGGCAACGTCAGCGGCTCCCACAGTGAGGAGTCATTTGAGCAACTTGGAGCCTCTTCCTACTGGACCCCAGAGGGACCAGTCCTGCCAATGGTGCCCCTATGCCTTACTCCATGGGGGTGGCTCCAGGCTACTCTGAAGGCCAGGGAGACAGCCTGGCTCTGCTCAGAGGCAATGTGAAGGATGCCGGAAGGTGGTCTCTGTGTTGCTCAGACTGCTGCAAGTCAGGACATGCTGTGTCCCTGTTGAGTGGCTTTGGGCTAACTTCCCCTGAAGCTATAAAATAAACCTGGGTTTTACAAGAGGAGAATGGGTCTGTGACTTCTGACTGTGCATGTGATATGACCAACAGCCCACGCTCCTCCCACCCATGATGGATTCTAAGTTTGAACTGTGAGCCAGAATAAATCCCTTCTCCTTTAACTTGCTTTTGTCACAGCAACAGTATGAAGAAGCAGAAGAAGAAGAAAAAGAAGAAGAAGAAGAAGAAGAAGAAGAAGAAGAAGAAGAAGAAGAAGAAGAAGAAGAAGAAGAAGAAGAACCACATTAAGTCACTTGGCTACTTCCTGGCCCAAGCTCTGGGCACTTTCTTCTTCATTGCTATTGGTGAGGTAGAAGTTTAGTTTTCCAAGCCAAAACTCCAGGGTTAGATAGGTAGCCCCTAAGAGGGATTGGTAAGGGGTATGTGCTCTCGGAGGTGAGCTTCAGGTGGCCTGTTAGCTAACTCATGGGTCATGTTCTCTGTCTTCTTGGTCCTTAATGCTCACCACATATTGACAGGACGAAGGGAGGCGAGGAGAGCAGGTGTCCTGGCTGGCCCTGCTAGGGTCAGCAGCTCTGGCCAGAGGGAGAGGAGTCCACGTACCAACACTTGCTTCCAGGGTGTGGGCAACAAGCAGAAGAATGGAGGGCAGGATCATGGCCCTGGCTGTGTTGTGTGCTGGAGGCTAGGAGGCTGGGCTGTGTGAATGGTGCCAGCTGGCGGCTCAGACTCCTTAAGTTGGCCAGGCTACCGATGTCATAATGACTGTGTTGAGAACTCACCTGAAGTCATGAAGACTCTTAAGTCATTTTCTTTCTGTGATGGCTCACCCAGGACTTCATCCTTGAAGACTTTTCCTTGGAACTTCCCCTACATCGAGCCCAACTCCCATCCTTATTACCCAGCCCTCTCTGGACGCTTGGTTTTTGGTCCTGTTGTAACCGATTATTCTTAAGGTTCACGAGCTTCCCTTTTGGGAGGCCTATCACATTGGGGCATACCTGTGAAAGAAAAGTGAGGCCTGCAAACTGGCTGCCAGAGCGGGTCAGAGATTAGCATTTCTGAGACAGTGTTCTTGTAGAATAAGTAGATACCAGATTTTCAGCCTCTCTGGCATGTAAATAGTCATTGATGGGCTGCCTAGCCCACATTATAGAAGTCAATCTAATAAACCCAATTTTTTTTTTTTTTTTTGGTTTTTTGAGACAGGGTTTCTCTGTGTAGTCTTGACTGTCCTGGACTCACTTTGTAGACCAGGCTGGCCTCAAATTCACAGAGATTCGCCTGCCCTGAATGCTGGGAAGACTGGCTTGTGCTTCCACAGTCCAATTTTTGAAACATACGTGTTCATTCTATTGGTTATATTTCTCTGGGGAATCCTGAAATACATACTCCATATGACCACACCATGGGAGGTCTTCATTAGCTCTTCCTGTCCAAAAGGATGGAAAAAGAAATGGTGGAAGCACAGCCATGGGACACAGCTGCTTGGGTTCCATAACGTACAGTCTCAATAGACCACGGCTTCTTGTCATGACCCCTTATGGAGGGTCACGTAACCATGTGGGAGCCTGAAAACCTGAGCAACAGTGAATGAAAATAAAAGAGGTGTTTCTGGCAGAGCTTGCTGTGTGTCATCTTGTGACTTGATCGTGTCTGTGGTTTTGAACACACCACATGTATGCTTCCCGTTATGGTGTGCCGTGTTTCACAGTATGTCAACAGGCACTGCCTCAAACTCAGATTCAAGACTACTGCATGTCGCACACTGTGGTGTTTTTACTGCACATACAATTTTCTGCTCTTGCAGAAACAGTTTCATGGTGGGGAAACAGAGAGCTTTAATATTTCCTACCATCGTTCCTCTGCATGTAAGTATCAAATTTAGATTTCTTTGGTTGTGTTGGACTAGAGTATTTGATTATTAAAAGTTGCTGTTTAAGATATTGAGTTTTAAAAATCGTTCAGTGAATTTTGGCCTGGGATCAGGACAGACTCTCCAACGACTTCTGAAAAAAAACAAAAACAAAAACAAACAAACAAAAAAACCCATCCTGTCATTTTGAACTACATGTCTATATGATGTTGTATTGATCAACTTTGAAAAACATTGAAGATGTTCTGTCAAATGTTAACCCAAGATTTTTTTTTTTTTTTTTTTTTTTTTTTAGAAACAGAGTCTTGCTGTGTAGCCCTGTCTGTCCTGAAACTTATCATGTACACCAGACTGGCCTCAAACTCACAGATATCCATCTGCCTCTGCCTCTGCCTCCTGAGAAAAGGGACTAAAGATAGGTACCACCACATCTGACAAGATTTAATTCTTTATATGAAACTAAGCAAACTTACCCATCTCTCTAGTACACAAATTTGCTTTCACCTTAAGTAAATGGTAAAATCGTGTTTATCTGTAAGAGTTGTTTTGAAACAAAATATTTATATTAATAAAGATTTGGTTTGTATATATGTTTTAAACACTTTGGTGAAATGGAGAGAAGCATGGAGGTGCGCAGGAAGACATGGTGCTGGAGAAGGAACTGAGAATTTTGTATCTTCATCCCAAGTCAGCAGAAGGGGACTGTATGTCTTACTGAGTGTAGCCTGGATGTATATAACCTCAAAGCTCACTTCTACAATGACACACTTCCTCCAACAAGGCCACACCTACTCCAACAAGGCCATACCTCCTAACAGTGCCACTTTCTATGGCCAACCATTCCAACACTTGAGTCTATGGGGACCATATCTATTCAAACCACTACATTTCACTCCCTGGCTCCCTTAGGCTTGTAGCCACAACATAATACAGAAATGCACTCACTCCAATTTCAAAAGTCCCCTGTAGTCTATCACAGTCTCAATATTGCTTAAAAGTCCAAAGCTCAAAGTTTCTTCTGAGAGCCATGCGTCTCTTAACTGTAATCCCCTGTAACAGCAAAATAAAAAAGCAGATCACATATTTCCAACATGTAATGGCATAGGTTATGCTTTACTGTTGCAAAATGGAGGAAAGGGAGCACAGTGAGGAAATACTGGTAAAAAGCAAGACCAAAAACCAACTGAGAAACCTCCCAAACTCTGCATCTCCATGTCTGAAGTCAAAATGTTCTTTAGATCTTCAACTGCTTTCAGCTTTGTTGACTGCGACTCACTCTTGGGCTGATTCCACTCCCTGTTAGCAGCTCTGTTTGGCAGGTATCCCTTGGCGCTGGCATCCCAAGGCAATCCAGGTTTCACCTTCAAAGCTTCACACAATGGCTTCTCTGGGCCTCTAGGCAGGGACACACCTGGCTTCGGTGGCTTTAGTCCCAGAGATTCCATAACCCCTTTCTTTTACCTTTGTCTCTAAAGCCAGAACCTCATGGCTGAAGCTGTCAAGCCCTGCTGTTTGTTGTGACTGAACATTGACCCCTTGTTCAATCATATCTTCATTAGCTTTTTGTTCTCGGTGGCTTCCTTCAGTGCCTAAGTTTGGATGTTCTGGAACTTGCTCTGTAGACTGACCTTGAAGTCAGAGATCTGCAGGCCTCTGTTGTCTGAGTGCTGGGATTAAATGTGTGTACCATCATGCCACTTCCTATGGCCAAGCATTTCAAACACATGAGTCTGGGGTCATACCTATTTAAACCACCATATCACCCACCTCCAAATATAGTTTCCATCATGCCCTTAAGGGACCTGGAGGTATTTCATCTCGCAGAGCTTTGGTATTAATAGCCTCCCTAGCTGGGGAGAGGATAGCTGCAGTCATGGTGGCCACATTTGCTCTGACAATGACAAGAAAGATCTATGACCTGGTCACAAGTTTAACCACTAAGTTGCATTTGGAGTCAGTGAAAGATCATAATCTCTGACTTGTCTTATCCATGGACTTAGAGGTCACCTTGATGTCTCCTGCTTTTAGGTTCAAAGTGAGGCACACCTCAGGTATGGGGTACTGATTTGCTCTGATGATTCCTCTAGGCAGTGAAGTCATTTGCTGTCATCTTTAGTGTGCAGAAAAATTCCCCAGACTACGCTGGGTTAGCCCTTCCTTGGAAGAAAAGAAACTCAGACACATTTTGAGGGCCCTGCTGCTTTTCGACAGGCAACCTCTGACTCTCTCATAGTTTTAATTAATGTTCTCAGACACTGGTGGACTTTAAATGACTTGCTCAAGACAGTACAGTCCCTCAATGATAGGACCAGGATGAAACTACTTATGGCCATTCACAGATCAACTTCCACCTTGGTAGGAGGTAAGATTTCCTTTCTCAGGCCCTTATTTATTTATGTGTTATTTATTCTGATGTAGAAATGAGGGATTTCTTGGTGTGGAAGCAGTAGAAAAGAGACCAAGCCACATATTTTGAATAAGACATTCAAAACTTTATTTGAGGCAGGAATGGGAGAAGGGCAGCTTGAGAACACAAGGGCCTGGCTCTAATGGTCCATCAGAGGCTTTTGTTTGACATTATGAGGGTGGGTTAGCTTAGTAAAAAGATACTTTTACATTCTGAAAAGGAAGCTTAGGTAACCGTTGTCCTAACCCAGGTCATAGGAGCTATCTGTAAGCAAAGCCAGTGGGAAGTTGATACATTGTTCAGCTGTGAGCTAGGCAAAGGGGTGCTAGCTGTACGGGATGGTACCTAGGGCCTGCTCAAGCATCTCTCACTTAGCAGCACCCACTGGACCCTGAACAGTCTGAAGGTTTAGGGAGGATTCCAACCAGAAAATAACCATTCTCCCTTTGTGGCCTTATGTGGTGTTTTACAACAAAGCCAAGAGAGGTCAGCACTGAGGCTGAAGGAAATTCTGATGTTAAGAATAAACAGTTGAAGGCCAAGAGTTTATTTGCCCTTTGTCCCCTGTGGTGCTCCCCACCATTTCAACTCCGACAACTTAGTAAGTACCTAATAAGTGCCAGGCAACATTCCAAGAACAGTGCATGTAAGAGAAAAAGGAAAGAAAGAAAAGACCCATACCCTCACCTGAGTTACAATCTAACAAGGGGGACAAAATGGTAAGACCGAGGATGTGGACTGTGTTGGCTATCCGCTGGGGATGAGGGAAAACAGAGCAGGCAAAGCATGTAGAGGGAGAGGCTTGGACAAGGAGTGGTGTGATGGCTTCTACTATCCAAATGACAGGATCTGAAGTCACCGATGAGGTCGCCTTTGAGAGACTATCTAGAATAAGTTAGCTGAGGTATGAAAAGCCGCATCAGCTATGGGTGGTGCCATTTCTCAGGCTAGAATCCTAGACTGAATACAACGAAGCAAGAAAACTGAGCACCAGGGTAGCCGGATTTTTTTTTTTTTTTTTTTTTTTACTACTTTGTGGGTTTCTTCCACCCCATAAATTCTTCCCTTTTAACCCCCTAACACTAGATAGGAGAGAGACTTTCTATGTCAGAAAAAGAATTACCACATAGTCGAAAAGGCAATTAATCACAGAAACAGATGAATTCTAAATACAACAGGCTACATGTGTTTTCATTAAAACTGAACATTTCTTACCTATGTATCCATTACGTAAGTTCATAGTGAGTTCAGAACGATGAAGGTTGAAAAGGCCTAAAGGTTAACAGGGTCCAAGAGCTACAAGAATATATGTCTTTTCAATTAGGACTGACCTTCCTACACATTTTCCAGTCTCTTAGTTTTTAGTGAGTTCAGG